ATGTTTTTTGCACGGGCTCTGAATCTTGTCGGGGGAAGAGTAGTCCTTCTTCTTCTGCTCCTCTTTCCCAAGCTACTGCCTGCTCCTCAGGGCTGGCGTCCGGGTTGTCTTTCCCCGGAGTCAGGCTGTGCCTTCAGGCTTGCCAAAAGGGGAAGCGAACGGGCAGAGAAACACACCGCCTTCTCTTGCGCCCCTGGTGCCAGGACCCAGGCCTGGAGGGGCCACACGGGGTAGGAGGCAGCGGCACTGTCTCCCAGACCCCTCTGCCCCCCCTCTCTCTGCCAAGCCCCCCCTGCCAAGAAGCTGGGTGCTGTTTGCACAGTTCTCCCTGCCCACTTGGGTTTTTTTGGAGAAACACTTTGATTTAAAGACATAAATCTGCTGCCAAGGAGCAGAGCTCAAAACAAGAGGCAAAGCAGTTTGGAAACTAGCACACCTTCCTTTACTTGCTGTTGCATCCTCCCTTTGCGTACTTGTGCCCCCCTAGCAAATGAGTCTATCCCAGATGAGAGAGAACAGCTTCTGCAAGAAATGTGGTTTCCTTTCTTTTTTTCAACCTCCTTATCCATAGGACGGTCCAGATCTGTACCAATATTTAGGCTCCTAAGGCCTTTGGTGCTGAGAATCAGACACCTGAGTATCTTTTGTGGACTCAGCAGTTCTCTCTTCCTTTTATCCTGCATGCCACAGACCCTGAGCTATCCATCTCTCTACTTGGAGGATTAACTTCTGCACAGCTCTCTCAGCCATCCTCCTTGCCATGCTAGTTGGCTGTCTTAAAATAACATGGTATTATTCTCACCACAGGGAGGGTGGGAGGAGAAAGGAAAAAAGAGCGGGATATTTCCTTCTCTTTGCCTTCATGCAACAAGAATGTGTACACTGCCTCAGAGGCTGTTTGTGTGGCTGGGGTAGTAAAGCTGGACTTGATGCCAGCACCAGAGAGGGGAGGTAATGGTGCGCACATGGGAGGAAAAATGACTTCCAGGTCTCAAGAGAGCTTTGCTGTGCTTTGGCTTGTGAGCTATAAGGATTTGTGCTGGCCTGTGAAGCAGGCTTTATTTCTTGAGTGAAAATGGATATGATGGTTGAGTTGATACCCAGCTGGGAAAAGAACTCCTTGTTTGATCACAGCCTGCATGACTTAATGGAGCAGGTTCACCACTGCTGTAAGGTATTGTTGATCCATTGGCTTCAGGGGGTTTCTGTCTGTTTTAGTTTACAGAGAGATTGCCTTGTTGCTATTTCCAGTGCCCCAGAGTGATGTGTGGAAGATACAGGGAGCTCGCATTGGGAATTCCCCTTTGGCTCCAGTACCTTGAGCCAAGCTGCTCTGTGGCACGCTGCCCTTGAGAACTTCAGTTTGGTTACCAGTTCTTGAGGCACGCACAGAGGAAACGGATCCCCAGAGAAACCCACCTGTCTGTCCAACACCAGTATGAGAGAGCATGTCCTAGGCCATAAAAACTCTTGTTCCTGAAGAAGGGATGGGGAAAAAGGGAAGATGTGTGATGGTCTGGGGGAATTTCAGAATGTCTCAGGGGAGAGGATGGCCTTTTTCCTAGGCTTCCTGTAGGCAGAACTCCTGTAGGCACCGCTGCATTCTGCCTGCTGTGTATCTAAGGCCCCAGGCCGACATGCCAGGATTCAACCAGACAGGCTGGTAATGTAAATGGCTTCAGATGTATTTGGGTCCTGTGGCAGAAGAACCAAAGCATTCATGGAACCGTACCTTGATTAATGTTGTCCCATACCTGTGCATGCCTTTTTCCCTGTGCTCCTCCGTCGGTCTTCAGACTTTCTCCCTTTCCTTTTCTCCTTCAAGCCCTGGAGAATGGCCCTGTCCAGACCTCCAGTCTCTCAGAGCAGGAAGAGGAAGAAGACACCCTCTGGGAGAAAATTGAGAGTGCACGGCACCAGCTGACCCGCTCCCTAAACCCTGCAAAGCTCACCCCGTACCTGCGCCAGTGCCGTGTGATAGATGAGCAGGATGAGGAAGAGGTTCTGAATTCATGCCGATTCCCTTGCAAGAGCAACCGGACAGGTGGGAGAAAACAGACTTGTACAGAGTTGAGCCTGGTTTTGGGGAGAACCTATTTTTGAGAAACAGTGGTTACTCTTCAGTATGTGGTGTTCTGGTCTTACGGCTCCCTCCCACTGCAGTATTACTTGGCTTTATTGTTGACTGAGGTGCTCTGCAGCCAGACCTCCTCCTCATCCCCTCTGGTGACTCCCCCTGTGTGCATATGAATGCAGACGGCGCTCCTACCCCAGTCCCTTCTCCAACCTGTCCTTCTTGAAGAGAGAAGTAGACTTGGTGGAGATGCTATTTTGTATCATGAGGTTGGGCTATGCTGTTCTTTGGTTTGCAGGGAATTCATGCTACCTCTTTATCCCTTCTTCTAGGTTACCTGATGGATATCCTTCGGCGCCGTGGGAAACGAGGCTACGAAGCCTTTCTGGAGTCCTTAGAGTTTTATTACCCGGAGCACTACACCCGGCTAACAGGGAAGGAGCCAGCCCAGCGCTGCTCTATGATCCTGGGTAGGGGCAGATGCTCTGTTCTCCTTTTAGCTGCCAGTTGCATGGGAAACACCAGAAATCTGTGTATGTGCACATCTGTGCGCAAAACCCTGGCATGTGCTACCTGCTTTCAAGGAACCCTGACAGCCCTGCGATCTGAATTTTGCAGGAAGGGGGCCATATGTATGTGTATGTGGGACTGGGGTGCCATAAGCACCAGGGTGAGGAAGGCTGCACATATCAGAAGGCTGTGTCACCCCTTGATGGAGAAAGAGTGCTGGGCAAATCTGTGGACGTTTTTTCGGGGTTGCCCCTGTCTGAGCAGCCAGGACCTGATTCTCCTTCCTCTCTCCCAGATGAGGAAGGCCCTGAGGGACTAACGCAGTTCCTGATGATGGAGGTGAAGAAGGTGAGGGCTCAGCGGAAGGAGCACCTGCTAAAGGAGCACCAGCTCCAGGTGAAAAACCAGGCCTTGGAGCAAGAACAGGCACGGCTGGAGCAGCGGCTGCAGGAACTCCTGAAGGTGCAAGAGCGTTGTCAGCGGCTGAGAGAGGAGTGGGACTCCAACAGCATGGAGCTGCTGAGGCTGAAGGATGAGAACTACATGATGGCCATGCGCTATGCTCAGCTCTGTGAGGAAAAGAATTTGGCTGTACTGCGGAGCCGGGACCTGCAACTGGTGGTATGGCACTGGGGGTGCTGGGACATGTCTTATCAGCAAGGGAGGCAGGAGGCTGGGGATTTGACCGTTGCTGAGGGAATGAATGCAGTGGTGCAGCTGAGAAGAAGGCATGTGGATGTCTGTGCAGGTGGCGCTTGAGCATGAAGAAGCTGACCCACTGTACAGCCGAACATGTGTCGGGGTGCATGGATGCGCCTTGGCTGGCATCTGCTCTTGAGGGGGAGTGTGCCCCAAGCATGGTAGAGTGGCCAAGTCATGGGCGTGGCATGTGAGACTTGTGCAGTTGGCTTTCACCTTGTGCTTTCAAGTTTTTGGTGTGTTTGTGCAGCATTGCACCCTGGCCTCACGTGTGCTGGGGGCAGCCAGTTAGCCTGAACTGTGGTCTCCTCACGGTTGTGCCTGGTGGCATGGGCCCCAGAACAGGAAAGAGGCAGTGATGCCGTGCTGTGACTGGAGATGTCATGTAGAGAGAAGCCTGAAACAACTGCTCAGAAGAGCTGTCAGGGTGACACCCTCCCCAGCGGTGGCTTTGTGCTCTTTCAGTCAGGCCACTGGTACCACGAGATGCCCTGTCAGCTTCTGCATGTATTTTCTGCCCTGTTAGCCTATGCTCCATGCTCCACCAGTGGGCGCCTGTGCTGTGTCTCATCAGCACAGATGTGCGGGGACAGCTAATCCTGTCAGGTTGCATCTTTTGGTGACTATGTTTACTACTTCCCCAAGAAAGGGCTTGCGTTCACTTCTTTCTAATGATGGTCGTGGCTGTGCATCTGCCTGCGCACAAGGCTCTAGGGACGTGCATGCTGCGTGGAGCTGCTCAGAACTCCTTGCTGTCCATAGGAGTGTTTTGTCCCAGAGTCCATCCCCCCACTCCGCACCGCTTCCTCATCGCTCTGATGATGTTTCAGAGACTCATGCTGCATACCTGGAGGAATTCATGACACTGCACTCCAGCTGCCAAGCTCTCACCTCCAGCAAACGCACCCATTTCCTGTCTGGGCAAGGACAGCCGTACTTTGAGCCTATTTATAAACCTGCTTCACCCTTCCTCTGCTGCCTTGTGGTATTCCGCCTGCCAGTCTGGGCCTGGGCTTCTTGCACAGCCCTGCAGCTACCTTTCATTCCTTCTCCTGGTGTGCCAGTGCTGGGATCCTCCCCTACCTTTTTTCCAGTATTCCTGCCAATACCGACTCTCCCGGGTCCCTTCTGTGCAGAGAGGTGAATTCCCTGTGGGTAACTATAGTGTGGAGAAATCCCACAAGGTCCCAGCCTTCCTTCCCCTCCTGGCTGCTGCCACTCGAGGGCCCAGAAGTGATTGGTTCTGGAAGCTCATTCTAGGTTCCTTGGCACAGATGTAGAAATAATCCAGTCCCTGAATTCCTTCTTGGCAATTCTGATAGCGCTTCTTAGTGCTCAGTGGCTTTAATATGTCCCTACCCCATATGCTCTCAAAGCCCACCTGGCTGTGAAACTCTTGTTTCCTGATTAACCTTGTCAGCCATTTCAGGTCTGTGAGGATCCCCCCTTAATCCTAAAAATAAGCAGTCTCCATATCCTGTGTCTAAGAAATGTCTAACCAATGAGCTTGGGCTCACGCCTCCTCCTGATTCCAGCCCCTGGGCTTCTGATCGTGGGTTGGACATGTGCTAAGGAGTCAGAGGGTTGACGTAAGAGTGGCCAGACAAGGCCAGCGTGAACTTCCATGTCACCCGGCACCCTGTCTCTAGTGACATGCTAATGGAAGAGTGTGAGAGCAGGCAAGTGTGGGATGATGCATCTGTGAAATCTTGCAGCCTGCAGTGATTTGATGCTCAAACACTTCTCAGGCCAGAGGTGTCCTCCCTGCTCTGAATAGCCTTCAGTGGATTTTTCTGCTGTGAGTTTTTCTCAGCTGTTCTAGTTTTTGAGAGACTGTCACAGTTGCTGGCCTTGGCAGCACATCAGAGGTCCCTGCTCCACCTGGGGTCAGGGTCAGCTGCGCTGTGGGTGCTCCAAGGTAGCAAGAAAGTTGTTGCACAAAGAGGGGCCCCTGAAACTGTGTGCACTTACAGGAAAACTTGGTGCAAGTGCATCTTCCTCCTCTGTCCTGCAGTGAAAACCTTGTATGTGCAGCTGTGTTAACTGTGCCTCAGCTGTAGGATACTCCTCCTTCACTTGGATTCCCAGCCTTCACATTTCTTGCCTCCAGACCACTTTTCTGCCTAGCTTCCTCTTTGTTTCACTCTCCTCTACCACAGCGGTGCTTGTGGAGGAGGTGTCAGACTATATTTCTTCTCTGGGTTGCAGGTGGACCAGCTGAAATGCAAAGTCTCCAGCCTAGAGGAGGAATGCAGCCTGCTGAGGAAACAGGCATCTGCACTGCCCCAGCGAGAGGCGGAGGAGCTAAGCCACGCTGACACAGTGTCCGAGCTGTGGGCTGAGAACCAGCGGCTTACAGCATCGCTGCAGGAGCTGCAGGGCATGTTAAAGGTACCTGAGGGGGCAGAGCGGGCTACAGGCCACCTCCTTCCCTGATTGCACTTACAGTGCTGGTGACATGGGTGAATCCCCCCTGGAAAGAAGGGGGAAATCGCTGTCCCAGCCTAGCTGGTCCCTTCCTCTGGGCAGATTGCTTGCCTGTGGTGGCTGCTGTTGCCTCTGGGTCCAGGACAGTGATTGGTCCTTGTCTGCAGCTCTGTGACTCTTGCACGTGCTCACACATGTGACTTAGCACCTCTCCCTGTGGACACTAGGGTCAACCTTATATACTGAGAGGAAACAGGATAAGAGAGGCTGAAGCTGCAGCCTTCATGCAGACGCTGCTACCTGGGGTCGGCCCTCATAGGGGCAGGCTGTATTTCGGTGATGGGGCTGGAAGGACCCAGCCCATGTTAAGCCTCTCTGTAGCACCTGGGAGGCCTGACCTCACGGTAGTCCCCACAGCTGGGTGCCATGGAGCCCAGAACAATGGAGGTGCCTTGTAAATCTCCATGTGGTGGGCAGCCTCACTGTCTGGTCCTTCACTTGATGACCCGTGGCAGAGCAGACCTTTCCCTGCTCTGTTCTGGGAAGAGACTTCAGAGAGATAATCCCTCTCCATTGCCCAGGGCCACCTGTGATTTTATAGATCTTGCTCATATTTCTCTCAACTGCTGCTTGGCAGCAGTTGCTCTCGACTTGGCACAGCCCAGCCTACTCATCTGTTCCCTGTAGGGGAACCCCTCCATACTCTGACCTCTCATCTTGCCTGGATCTTTTCCAGTTCTCCCGTCTCCTTTGAGGAGGTGGGAGGACTGGACCTGCACGCTGCAGTCAGTCTGTGAGTGCACAATAGATTTATACAGTAATGATGACTGTAGTAATGCCAGCCTGCCTGTTGTTCACCTGCTGAGCCAGGCGCTTACCCTGGTTTGGTGATCCCATGGTGCTTGTGGTGAAACGATGGTGCTGTCTTGCCTCCTAGATGCCAGGTGAGGGCCCAGTGCCAGGCTCTGAGCAGATCTTGCTGGACATCCTGGAGCACGACTGGAAGGAAGCCCAAGATGACCGTCAGGATCTCTGCCAGAAACTCCACTCCGTGCAGAATGAGCTGCAGTGGGCTGAAGAGCTGAGAGATAAGGTAATGGATCCCTCACCACTCCCATCCCTGCACACAGAGCAGGGCATGGAAGAGAGGGGATGGAGTGGGCTGGGAAGCCACACCACTCACTTCTGGGAGGGCTAATGCTCGCTGATCGCTCTTGCTAGTACCTCCAGGAGGTGGAAGATCTGCAACTGAAATATCGGACGCTACAGAAGGACTGTGATCTCTACAAGCATCGGATGAACACGGTGCTGCTGCAGCTGGAAGAGATCGAGAAAGAGCGGGACCAGGTGAATTGTCTCTACCCTGGCTCTCCACCTCCCAGCAGGATCAGGACTTTTGTCTCTGCCCCCTCCTTCCCCAGTAGATCTTCAGCCATGCCAGGATGGGAGAGGGGATTACTGTTGCAATCCTCTTACTCACAGCCTGTCTCCTTGCAGGCTATCCAGAGCCGAGATGGGGTGCAGCTACAGTACTCCCAGAGCCTGATCGAGAAGGATCAGTATCGCAAACGTGTGCGGGCCCTGGAAGAGGAGAGGGATGAGCTCCTAAGCAAACTGAGCCAGGCAGAGGGACTGAACAGCACGCTGGAGGCCCAGCTACAGCGGTGCCAAGGCAACCGCAGCCTGGGCAAGGTGATGGGGGGCTAAAAGGAAAGGGGAATGGAGAAGGCGGAGGGACCAGGGCTGTTTCTTGGGGGTTGCAATGGGATGATGGGACCCTTCTCTCCTAGATGTGCAGCTCTTCCTACTCCCTCTGCTCCAATCTCAGCAGCACCTGGAGCCTCATAGACAACCCTTCCAGCCTGACGAAAGGACTTGTGGAGGCACTGTCGGTTTCTGCCATTCAGAGCATGGTAAGTGCTTGACTATGGGATGCTGGCCCTGAGCTGAGGGCAGCAGTGACCAACACTGCTCTGGAAGGACACAGAGGCATTGAACTGGTCTGTGACTTGCTGGAAGATACGGAGTGGGACGATGTCTTCATGTGGGAGCAAAACCGAGGTGCGAAGCTTTGTCCGTAATAAAACAGCCAGCTCTGCACTGAGGTGTGCAGCACTTAGCTAGATGCCAAATAGAGGGGGAGTAAGACTTCCTTTACCCCATGTGACGCTCCAGAAATCGACAGTCCCATGTAAGCTGCTGACCTTTATAAAAAGCTATTTTATCTACATGTGCCAGGGGAGAAATCCTAGATCTTGTGAATCCTGTAGCAAACAATCTTATTGTCTTTAATGGAGTCATGTTCTTGCTAAAGTCCCTTTGACTCTTTGAATCCTCATCATACAGCACCCTAAAGTGGTTAGTCCTGAAGATTACTCTTGCCTCTGGGTGTGCCATAGCTAAGAGTGAGATATAAGAACCGGGAGAATCTGATCCCTTCATCTGATACTAGTCCTATTGCTTGTTCTTTGCAAAAAGGCAGGGATTCAGTGGCCTGCATCTTCATCCCTTTTCTCTCCTCTGGGATGGCAATGTACCTCTGGGTACTGGGAGGAATGTGGATGATCCCTGAAGAGGTATTGCAGGAGCTATTTGCAACCTAGCCCAAAGAAGAGGGAAGGGAAGTGCTGGGCGCTGATATTAGCAGGCATCTCTCTTTCACTCTGCTCAAGGATGTAACGCCTGACAGTGAGAAGGATATCAATCGCCTTTCCACTTTCCCCTTCCCACCTTGCATCGGCTCCATCCTCCGGCGGCAGCGGGAAGATAGGTGCATGCCCTACAAAAGGTGACTTCTGGGGGCTGCTTGAGGCTCTGAGTATCCTCTGCTGGGATTGTGGGGGCCTGAGAGGCCTGGATGGCAGGGGAGGGGGAAAGCTGACTGGGAGCTACATCCTGGCTGGGAGGTGCTTTTGTGTCAGGGTGAGGAAGACGCGTGGGGAGGGGGTTGAGGATGGGATGCAAACAGGCTTTGGAAAAGCTGGTGCCTCACAGCTCACCTTTGTGTCCTTTCTAGCTTATCCTGTGGCTCCTTTAGCAGCATTGAAGATACAACAGGTACCATAGCTGGGGCTTTCCCAAAAGGGCTTAGCTAGAAGAAAGTTGTGGTTGTGGGAAGAGGAGGGTGGACAGCTGACTCTCGCTCATACCTTTGGTCTGTGTGGCTCACTGTGAGGGCTCTGTGCACAGAGTGGGGTGCCATGGGCACACACGTCCCATACTAGACTCTGCGAAGTACAGCATCTGGAAAAGCTGGCTTCTCCCCTTCAGAATGTATAGCTATTCACATCTGATTTATTTAATTTGTGGAGAACTTTTGTTGATGGAGAACTCCATTTGGAGTTGGGGGAGTAGGAGCCAGAGGAGAGAAATGCCTGCGTTATTGGTGATGGGCTGTAAATCTCCTGCAGTGGATCTCTTGGTGCTGGCACATCCTGAGGGAGGTGCTGGTGGCTGAGCTCCGTGGGGCACCTCTGGGTGGTCCTGGCTTCTGCTGTGACACAGCTTGTGATCAAAATGCTGAGAGAGGGATAAAGAATTGTTTATTCTCAGGAGACGTGGGAAAACAGTCCTAACCCCTCCTCTCCCTCCCAGAGAGGAAGGGAAGAAAGAGATTTCCAGGAGGATGACTGTTCAAGCCCTCTCTCCAGCCTCAATTTCCTAGTCAGATGCTGGAAAAAGCAGAGAAGGGAGGTGACAGACCTCAGCCACCCTGAGAATGTAGGCTCCCTGCAGTGCTCGGAGAGATGATGTGCCCTCTCTCTCTCCCTCTTACTCTCTTTCCTAGGCAGTGGTTTTGCTAGTGTGTCGCTTGGGGCCTTCTCCTCTTCTTCCAACAGCACCTACGCCAGGGTGAAGTCGGAGATCTGCTTGTCCACACTTCCCAGCTGCAAGGAGGTCACCAGGAGGTGACTGCTGCTCTCTGAAATAGGCACTCTGAGTCTGCTGCTTGGGGGGATGTTTCATGCTGCTGGGGGAGCATGCTTGGAAGGCCATTTCTTTCTGCCTTTCTCCTGTGGGCCATTTTCTGCTAGCAGGAGAGGAGAGAAATAAAGTTTCTATAGTCCTTGCTTCCCAGCAGGGCCCCAGTTATCTGGCCTGTTCCATGTGTTCTGGCAGCGATAGGAATGGTGCCCTGGACTTGGACACAAATCTATCTGATTTGGAACAGGACCAGGAAAGCCTGCATTGGGGCTGGTGGGGTGGTCGGGTGGAATGGGCCTTGGGTGTTCATAAGCTGTGTGCGTGTGCCCTGGTGATGACTGAATTGTGAGCTCCATACCTCATGGAACTCCATGAAAGAAACACCTTGTGGCTGGACACCAGGCATGGGGATTGGTTCCTAGGAAAGGCAGCAAACTTCACTGGTTGGACTTGGTGTTTCTCCTTGCTAGATCCCTGGTGGTGCAACTGTCTAGCATGGGGCACCCCAGCAACCCCTCACTCCAGGAGAAGAGGCTTGGAGCAGATATCTCCATCCTTGGAGGGAACAGGACAGGGATTTATGTCCAGTGGGTCAAGCCAGGCTCACAGGTCGAGAGTGCAGGACTCAGGGAAGGCTGCCGGCTCATTGAGGTAAGTCTGGGAATGGGGTCACTTTGTGGGATTGCAATGCACCTGGGACACAAGGAGTGTGAAACAAGCTCCGGTGCAAACTGTCCTCTGCCTGACTTGAGGTCCACCTCCGTTTCTCTTGTTTCCAGGGACTGCTCCCTGCCTACAGCCCTGTGCAGCATGAACAGGCATCCAGGTTGCTTTGCAGGCAAGCGTACCAGTGCATGTAAAAATGCTGAGTTGTCTTGAAACACTTCTTTCATCTGTGGGAGGGAAAAAAACAACAAGGAGATGCACAAATTAAGACAGTGATATGACTGTGTGTCCCTGGAGTTGTCTCTCACCTTGTAGTATTTCAGAGCAGTTTGCACACTGCATCCTGTACACGCCTGTTGCAAAGCAATCAATTCTGGAGTGAAATATCGCAGGCCTTCATGACCCTCCCAAGCTATAGAGAATAAATGCTCTGGAGAAAGCTCCTGGAGCGGGTAAGAGCATTTGTTTTGGCAAGAATTACACCATTTGAAATGCAGCTAAGGTACTTGAATTAATATCCACCTGTGACTGAAAATAAACCAACCTCCTCCTCCCCGCAACATACACATATGTGCGCACACACGTTCGCTTCCATAACAGCCCAGCATCCAGCTCTGGCAGTCGCTGGCAGCAGGTATTTCAGAGGCAGAGCAGGGAACAAGGATGCCTTGTCCTCAGGTACAGCTTTCCCTGGGCCTGCCTTGGTCTATCTCGCATAACTTTGATGGGTGAGGAGCTGGTGGCGGTGGAGCCTGCTCTTCTAGCCCCTAGGTCTAATGCCATTCAATTCTTGCTAGCTGAGAGTCCCATCACTGAAAGAAGAGGTGCTTTCTCTGGAAAACTGCACCCGAGAGGTCGCCTACCTGAGCCTGCTGCATTGGGATGAACCCTCTAATCTTATCTTCCAGCTGGACCTGCAAGGTAAGGCCCTGGCAGCTGGGTCTCCCTTGAGCTTGGGCTCTCTGCCTCCCTTTCCAGGCCCTCCACCCAGTCCTGGAGCTAAATCTCTGTTCTCAGTCGTTCTCACTCCTCTCCTGTTTGGTCCTTGGCCACCACATATGACACAGGGCTTGGCCATAGTTCTGGTTGTTTGCCATGCCTACTGTGATATGTGCATCCCCTGAGTTACAGGATGGAGATACGGACCCTCTGTCTGTTTGCCTCCTCTGAACTCCTATCTGTAGCATCACTGCTGTGCTAGAGACTTGGCTATCTTGGCAGGTTGTCTTGTTGGTGATGGTTGTCTCTTGTGTCCCTGCCTGTGGTGACCTATATGTTTTGCTCCAGGATACCAGCCTCTACGTGAAGCCTTGGAGGAAGGGAAGAAGATTTCTGGAGACTCATTCTATGTACGCACCAATCTATCCCTCACAGAACAGTCAGATCCTTATGCACTGTGTGTCAAGTGTCGAGAAATCCTCCACATCACAGACACTATGCACAAAGGGCGGCTGGAGTGGTACTGTTCCCGTGTTGATCCCTTGACCATGCGGGACCTGGACAAGGGGACGGTGCCCAACTACAACAGGTAACAGGGTGAGGAGAAAGGCAAGGGGTCCCTGGGGTACCTGCCCCATTTTTCTGTGATAAGCATCCACTAGGAGTCCTGAAGAGTGTGGTTTGGCCTTTTCTCCTCATAACAGTGTGAGCTGTCCAAGCCTTGTATCAGGGACCAGTGCAGTGGTGTATAGGTGCCCTTGAGAGAATGGGTGCTTGAGTGAGAGATCTTTTATGCTTACCCTTCAGCAGCTCTCTATGAGGGTTGCAGAATAGGATCACAGCAGGCTAGGGTCCCTGAGGGCTCTAGAGTTGCTTGAGAGCAACCTCTCTGTCTTTTCAGGGCCCACCAGCTTTTGAAGATCCAGGAGAAGGGTCAGATGCCTGGGCAGCAGAGGGGCCACAGAAATAATGTAAGCCGGAGAAACCAGCCAGGAGAGCCGTGTGTGTGCGCCTACATTCACCCCTACACCTCGGCACGCAGTCTGCCCTGCTCTGTCAGTAGACCAACTCTTATGGAGGCGGCAGCTTGGCTAGCAAGCAGAGCAGGCTCTTACATCCCAGACAGCATATTTGCTCTGTGACTGTTCTCCTACCCTCTCCCTGTTTCCCAGCCTGAACTTGATGGTGGGCAGGCCTGGTTCCTTTCCATATGTGCCCTCCACCCCCTTTGCTGGGGAATGCTCTGCAGTCAGCTGTGTGTGTATGTGTGGAAAAGATTGTGCTTTCAGCCTTCGTGCCCTCACTTTCTCCTCAGCTAAAGAAACGGGCCTTGGACCAACTACGCCTGGTAAAATCTAAGCCACAGGGGAGCCCGGGACAGCCTCCTCAGCAGTTGTGGCTGGACCCCTGCTCAGGTGAGCTCTCACTCCTACATCTGCCCCATCAGCCTTGGAGACCCAGTTGTCTTCTGGGGGCACTGAAGGCACATGGGCACCTAGGATGCCTCAGTCTCTCTAGCTAGAATCCCTCATATTGCACTGCTGATGGTTTTCTGGGAAGCCTGAGCATATTTAAACCTTCTGTTCCTTCTCTCAGGCTTTCTGGGGCTCTCCATCATTGCTGCTATGGTTCTTGGGGTCACAAGCACATTATGGAGAGAAAGGAGAATAAAGTGATGTGTAACTCCAGTGAGTCCCTAGATGATGGGCAAGGGGTGGTTGCAGCTGAGACATCTGCCTATCAGGGGAGTGATGTAACCAGTGGAAGATCTCTCCTGGGATATGGGGTTGGTAGATTCATCCATGAGTCAGGACTAGGGGATGGTGTAGGGAGAACTGCAGGGAGTCTGGGCTGGTGGCAGCCCTATCTCCCATGTTCTCACCTTTTAACTTTTTCTTCATTCCTGTCTTCCAGACCCAAACAGGAGCCTGAAGCCTTACAACCTGGTGCACCCTGTGGTGGTCCAGACACCCCGTCCTGTGGTGCTGTCGCCTGATTGCATTGCACCACGGCTCATCAGGAACTTGCTGGACTTGCCCACCTCCCGCCTCGACTTTCATGTGTGCCCGGCAGGTAGGTGGCAATGAACAGTTAACTTGTCCAAGGATGTTTTCAGAGCCTGTGGCTGAGTGAAGTGAAGTACACAGGTGTCCTGCTTTTCAAGGTTGTCTTCCCATTTTTACCTCCTGCCATTTTTTCTTCTGTGGAGGTCCTGGTGAGTCCAGTTCAGGGAAGAGGTGCCATTAGCCTGGGAAAGCTGAGACATGGTCTCACGGGGCTTGGAGAGGACATGAGGCCTCAACAGCTAAATTGTGAGGGTCTTACAGTCTTCCCAGACGATACCTGTTGTCAGGTCACCTTTCAGCCATTTGGAATAAATATCTCCAAAGAGTTCCCTCCTCTTCTTAACTGTGACCTGACCCTTTGGCCCACAGGGAAGCCAGACCTCTCTTCTGGTCTTCTGAGGCACAAGGGTCTTCTGTCTTCCCTTGAGTGGGTGGTGATGGCATTGCCTTGCTACTCCAGGTGCCTCTTCCCAGAGATGAAGCCCCTGCCCAAGATGGGATCTGCAGGTTGACTTCATACTTGACCTGCCTCCAACAGGATGAGAGCATCCAGCCTTGGTTATGCCCTGCACTTCCTTCTGCCAGCAATGTGAGGTTGGCGCACAGCTGCAGACGCTGCTGGGGAGAAGATTTTTCTCCCACAGGGAATTTTTACGGAGGACAAATCTCTGTTTCTTCCCTTCTTCCTCCATTTTTCCCTATCCCTCCCTTCCACTGTATTTAGAATTCTTCCTTTGCCAAATGCAGAAATGAAAAAAGTCAGTGTTTTCTTTTGCGGAGGTGGTGGTGGTGAAAAATCTTTGCTTTTCTGAAAAGGGAAGGCTCTGCAAAAATAAATTTCTTCCACTGGGCTTGTTAGCCAAGTGACTTTGCCATATATCCTGTCCTACTAGGCCCTCTGCAGGGTCCCCCTCACATTGCATTGGGACATGCTTCAGAAGCTATTTACTGCAGCTGGGGACTTTGCGTTGAGGGCACAAACTCTGTTCACTCCTGTCTGCTTTGCCTGTTCCATGGGAAAGAAGGTGATCTCCGGAGTCCTGAGCCATTTTGCTTTTCTGAATTGCCTGCATTTTACCTCAGAGAAATCCCCAGCCAGTGCAGAGTTAGTATAAGCCAGGTGATCTTCACTAGGAACTTGCTGCCCCTAAAGGAAACAGATGGCTTTATGGGAGCCAGCTTTACCAGGGAACTACCTGCGTGGCCAGGCAGAGTTAGCAGAGGATACCCAGGCGGCCTTGGGCTCAGGAGAAGTGGAGAGTGGAACGCGCTCTGGACCTGATCCCAAACATGCGTTACCCTGAATAGATTACATTATTTCTGCTTTAGAGGCAAAGGCAGCTCTTAAGAGCAGGGAGCCCTAACAAATCTTTTGTTATGTTTATTCATTCTGGGGATAGGCAGTATGGGCGATTGGCTAGGTCAGCAGGGTCAGCAAGTAGATCCCAGTGCCTGCTTCAGCCATGCTGCTGCTCCTAAGTGATGTTTGTATGTGCATGCGCGTATGTTGTCTTATCTTTTGATGAATCATTGCTTTGACCCTGTCAGACCCTGCTGTCCTGGTTGCCTCCAAGGCTCTGCCCTCAGTTTTCTATCTCAGTTTCACCTTTTTGCTGCCCTCCTGCCTGGTGTTGGGTAACCTAGGCCCACACTGTCTCTGGGAGAAGCATAGCTCTATTTTCCCATGTGGGATGAGAAACTTTGAGGCGGCTCTGCTTGGCCACTAGCAACACTTAAGTGCCTTGTGAGCTGAGCGCACCAGGACTCCTTGAGAGCCTGCAAAACATTTGCAGGCCCTGCAGCTCAGTTGCCATGTGCTGTCTCTCCAGACCCACCTGTGAGCACTGGGAGATAGTTCTGGCTGCCACCAACAAAAGGAGGTTCAGCTTGTCCCCCATCTCCCTCCTCCTCTCCCATGCAGAGATCACACTCCCACTGCTTCCCCAGCCCTGCAGCTTGCTGAAGCCATCTGTGATCCCATGCAGCTCACTAACCCTGCAGAAACCTTACCTGGCAAAATAAAGTGATTAGTTTTCTGCTGGATTCTGTCTGGGAGCAGTTGCAAGGAGGAGACAGGACAGTGAGGAAGGAGGGGATCAGGGCTGTGAGCTGGCTTAGGCTGCTGTGGTACTGCCACACAAGAGCTGCTTTTGCCCTGAGAGGTGTCCTCACCTCTGATATGTTGCTTGTTCTGTAAGCAGAAAGCTACAGGAGATCTATGCCAACATGTAACACTGTATAATTAGACTCGCTCTCCAGAATCCATAAACACTGAACTCGATAAGTATCAGCACGGCAGCAAATATGCAGGATCTGAGGAAGAATGTATGTGCAAGACGGATAAGTGGCTGGTGTGTCTCTTTTCAAATCTCCCTTTTCTCTTGGATTTCAGAGAAGCTGGCAGAAGGGCATCCCAACACTACCCATGCTAAGGACGACCCGGTGTCTAGAAGTTCCCTGCAGGACCAGAGGGAGCCTGGGCGAATCCGCATGATACGGGAGGCGATGGAGAAGGTGCTGAGCTCTTTGGTGTGGAGAGAGAGGACAAGGATGAGGCGTCCCCTTTTAGATCCTAGGAGAAGAGAGGACAACAGAAGGGGAGGGAAAGGGGAGAAGAGTGGTGAGAGAAAAGGAGTTGCTTATTTGGCCATGTGACTTGGAGGGCATTTTGGATCCAGGTGCTGTGGGGCAGTGAAGCAACAAATATGGGCCTTCTCCTGAGTCTCTGTCCACTCTGCTGAAAGAAATGGTGACTGGGGATATGTGGGGGAGGTAATGGGAGATGCATTATGCTGAAGCTGCCTCCCGGCTCTTGCATTCCTCATTTTCAGCAAAGTGGCTGTGGCTCTGCTCATGGCAGACAGAGAAGATGTGGGCCTGTGGGTAACAACGGAGGAAGGGACGTGAAGACAGACTGACTGAGCAAAGGGTCTGGTGGGCTCTTGGGTCAGGTTGGCTGTGATATAGTGGATGACCCTGCTCTTCAATTCTTTGCTTCCCTCTCGGCCCTGGCTGTAAATCCCACATTTAATGGAATTACTATCGGAAAAGCAATGATATTTCACAGTATGGGGTTTGATTTAACGTAACTGTCGGGAACTGGGGTTATTTCTTCTCCATTTAAATCAGTAAATCTCTTCGATTTCCTTCCAGAATAAACACTGCCTGCTAGAGCTTGGAGTTCAGAGTGTGAGGGATCTAATTAGAAGTGAAATATATCCCATTGTTATCCATGTCGAGGTCACGGAAAAGAACATTAGAGGACTCAGGTAAGAAGAGACCACGCAGTGTGGACGGAGTGTATTACCGGGTAAAAGAGAAACCCTTGTCTCTATTCAAAGGAAAATACAAAAGACCTTTATGGAAGTAATAGCTGTGTGTGTGCACCAGGTGGGAAAAAGAGCAGGAAAAGCAACTTTGTATGTGTGAATTTCTGTAGGGATCAAGGTGGGAGCACTGGCATTTTTACGAACCCATTTCTCTACATGAGGGTAATATGTGTCCCTCTGTTTCCCCAGGAGCTTGCTGGGGAAGCCGGGCCAGCGGGACTCGGAGGTGCTGAAGGTGTGCCGTGGTGTGGAGCAGGCGCTTCATGCGCTGCCATGCTCCTGGGCTCGTGTGGATCCTCAGGCCTGGAGCCATGCGGAAGAGCTGGCCAAGGTGGTTCGGGGCTGCATCTTTCAGGAACAAACCCGCCCGCTGTGGATTGAGGAAGGTGATGACTGAGCCAGGACCTAGCAGAGCTGGCACTGTGCTGCCAGCTACCTTCCCCGAGAGCTATTCTCAGAGGCCCCTGCCACCCTGAACTCCTTTGGCAATGTGTCCTTTCTCCTGGAGGGGATGCCATCAGCAGAGGCCTCTGGGGTAGCCTTTCAGGTCCCCTTGAGGCCACACAGAGGTGGGAAGTAACATGCTAACTCCCTCGCCTGAGTTTTCCATGTTTTATTGGAGAGACGTCTTCCACCTTTATGCTGGAAACCACCCTCGTAGCTTATTCCCCATCACTTTGGCCTTACCCTTGGCTCTGGTACCTGGTTAGGTTGCCAGATTGAACACTTGAGGGAACTGTTGAAATCAGGGTGTATCGGAGTGGATCATACACACATGTGAGTGCGCACACACACATGTGCGCATGTCCATCCTTATCTTTTGGTACCTCTGAGGCCCTTTTCTCATCACCTCTGTCTTCCCTTGCCTGCAGCACTGTGTGCTGTAGGTCCTCTACCCCCACTTTCTCTGTCTACCTCACCTCCTGCCCAGAAGAGCGGGAAGCAGTGCTTGGTTCAAACACACCACCATGGCTGGAGTGACACTAAGCGGGTTTTGTGACACATCCTCAAATTTTATGGGAACTGTACTCGTTATTGCTTGTAAATTATTAATGGACCCATTTAATGGCACCTCACATATAAAGGAGAATTAAATACCATTTATAATGGGAATAGGTGGTGGGTTGTGGGTTTGTGTGTTAATGGAAAGGCTGGCTGATACATGATTTTTCTCCTTTTGCTGAGGCGACTCTGCACAGTTGTCTAGGGGAGAGAGGGAGCACTGCTTTTGCTGTTGTTGGGCAGCAAATGTGCTGCGAGAGGATGGGCTAGAGCAGGCCACAGATCAAGCTCCCTCCTGTCTCTGTGAGCCCACCTTTTTTTTGGCCCCTTTCTCCTCGCTCTCCCCAGTGCTGATGCTGGCAGGCAGCTGTGCTCTGGGAAAAGCTTGCTTGACGCGCCTGGCTGAGGTCCCCAGAGCTCTACGTTGCCTGTGCCCCGGTTACTGTGGAGTGACAAGCCGGCTGCCTCCACCGCCTGGGGAATGACATGCTACCAGGAGCCAGGGGTCCCCTTACCCCTCTGGCGGGGCCAGTTTTCACCCACACCTGAGACTGACCATGGCTTCAGGCTGACAGAGGGAAGATGTGAGGGGCTTGGGAAACAGCCTCTGTACTCACCCATTGCAGCACGCTCCTGGCTCCTTACCAATCGCTGTTATCAGCAGTCCTATGGGAAAGGGGTACCAGGATACTCCTGCCATGGAGAGGTGGTGGCTGGTCGTAGGTCTTTCCTGTGCAAGAGAGAGAAGGGGACAGTGGCACTGGGAGGCCCCATGGGGCGGGAAGCTGGGCAGAGGGCTGAGCCCACTGCTCTTGGGGCAATGGGAGAAGATGGGCTACCACCGCTAGAGAGTCAAGTCCTCCCTGTGTCCTCCTTGCCCCTGTGATTAGGGCACTGCTTGTGCCATGCACTTCTGAAGCTCGGAGCAAAGATTAACTTGCTGATCTTCATGGGTCCCCTGTGAGGTGTTATTTCAGGCTCTAAACCAGTTGCCTGTGTCTTTTATGAGGATGGGAGTGGGGGGAGGGAAAAAAGAAAAAGATTTTAACCTGCAGTCACTCAAATGTAGAGCAATGTCCCAGAGCTGCCCTGGAGCAATGCAGCTATGCTCCCAGGGAAGGGGGGACTGGAGCAACACACAGCTCTAGATGAAAGCTCCCAAATGACATACACTCCCCCCCCCCCCCCGCCCCGGCATCCCAGCACAGCCAGCCCTGTGGGAGGGTTGTTGCCCTGCAGGCAAACAAAGCAGGACTCTTGTTGATCTGAGGAGAAGACAAGTCCCCAGGCAAGCTCCCCTCCACTGGGGCATGCATTTGCAGGGGATGGAGGGTAAAGGGATTAGAGCCTGCATGTTTTTAAGGGAAAAAAGTAGTGCTTGAGTACTTAGGGAAGACTCTCCCTGTGAGGCTCACTGATTCAGAGCTAGGCAGCTCTGTATCACCCCTCCTGGCACTGGAAGACATCACCAAGGTACCCCTTTTGGGCCAGGCTGAGTGTCGTAAAACAACAAGCCCCGCTTCTGGATGGACTGGCTTTGTCCACTGCGCCAGAGGGCCAGCAGCCTGCTCGGTGGCTGCTCAGCGCCTGTGTAACAGCCCTCCCCAAGCACTTCCCCGGGCCGTCAGCGTTGTCATCGAGAGGGAAACTGAGGCGAAGAAAGGTTGAGTTGGGGAGCAACCCACTTGGGGCAAGCTTGGCACTTCCCATCTCTCTAACCACCAGGCGGCACTCACTACCTAGCCCTCTTCCAGCTTTCTTCCAGGCCTGCTTTTTATCCATGTTGTCTCTCCAGAGACCTTTCAAAAATCCTGCTTCGACCAGTTCTGGCCGTGGATGAGAAATGGGGCAGAGGGCTCAGAGACAAACACAAATGACCCCCCCTGCCCTGCACGCCCCAGCCCACCTTATTTGTATCCCTGGCGGGGGTGGCTGCCTGCTCGGAGGAATGAGTCACGGGTTAGGTAACAGGCAGAATGCAATTAGCAGCCCTGGGCACCAATTACCAGCTGTAACAGCCGTGTACAAGCCCCTGTAAAGAGTCATTGAGAGCAAATTTTCTCCCTTCAGGGAGGGGACCGGCAAGGCGGCATGCGTGTGTCACTGTGGGAAGCTGCTAGCCCTTTCCATGCTGCCCCCCGCTGCTCCTGGCAGAGCTGTAGCAACATGGGGTCTCTTGTCTCCCGTGCCCTACTGGCAATGCGTGGGTCAGCCCCACTGTGGGGCAGGGCTGGGCACCGGAGGGTCTCTGCCCCCCGGAAACAGCTCTAGCAGAGCAGGCTCGTGGCTGTAAAGTGGGTGAGCAGAGTGCCATTTCCACCAGGGCAGTGACAAATGGCCCCGCAACCCAGGCACTGCAGAAGAAAGAGGGGTGTCTTAGCCCAAGAGGGTGGCTGTGCTCACTTTTAGCTTCAGGCATGTTTTGGTTTGTACATGGTTGGGTCTGACTATTTCCCCTGCCCAATTCACTGCTGTATTTGAATTTGAATTACATTTGCAGCCCCCAAAGGTTTCTTCTGGGGGCATTATTACGGATGCTCTGCCTGTGTCTCCCTTCCTCTCTCAAATGATGTCCTGGGCCAAGGCTGGGAGGTGCTGCAGGATGCCTGGGAGCTATGGAAGCTGGTCTGGCTGAGAAGCAGCGACTAGCCAGGGGAGCAATCACAATATTTAGCACAGAGACAGTGGATCAGCCATGCTAGCTTCACATCCCCACAGTAATGTAAGGCTTGAAGGTGAATGACATGCCTACCCACCCCAAATCAGTGTACGAAAGCATCGCTATTCAAAGGGATCAAAAAATAAAATCTGCAGGGACCCTACAAAGGGACATGGGAGATGCTCGGGAGATGTTCTTGCTTCAAGGGAAGGCCAGGAGCCTTAGAGCCTCGGAGACTCAGGAAGTACATGGGAGGAGGGAGAAGTGTATTCAGTGGTTTCTTCTTTACAAAAGAGAAAGTTGTAGTCAAGGACAGGGCTGGGGTGAAAGTGTGGATGAGGCCTGGGGAAACTGAGCACCTGTCTTTAGTCCTAGAGGGAGATCTTCCCTGCACTCCCATAACATGCCTGTTTTTGGACACATAGCGAGAGTGTGGGACAGAGGGACCCTGATCCCTGCCCTGACCCTCTTTTCTAAGTTCGCATGATCTGGCATGTGCATGTATGTGCATGTGCGAGTGATGAGCAGCCGAGAGATGGGAGGGCCTTTGTCACATGGCATATCCTGGGAGCCATGTCCTTCTCCTTTCCCAGTCCCCTTTTTTTTTTTTTCAGCATGCTCAGATTTGAAGCCCACAGCTAGTAGCTCCCTAAGGAAGCGCTCCGGTTTCAGCAGCTTATGTGGAGCATTATCATTGCGCTATTCCCCGTGCATGTCATCCCAGCCATGGGCTGGTTATCTCTGTACCGCCAACTGCTCTCTGAAGGGTCCTAAAGGTAACATGAAGGAATGGCAAGGGATCCTAGCAGTCACCCACCCTAATTCTGGCTGAACATCACACAGCAATCTGTGGTGCTGACCCCAAGATTTCCCATCTGCAATGGTCCTTGCCTTGGAAGGGCTCTCATATATCCCTGACATCCCCCTCCCTAGGGACAGCATGCTCCATGCAGGGCTTGCTCAGCTGTCATGCCCCTTGGCGCAGCCCCACACTAACCTTGTGACTGTGTGGGCAGCTGGTGGGCTGAAGTGAAGGTGACACCAGGGAGATGCATGACCCTACCTGGCTGTGGTATGGGGGGGAAAGAGATGGCTGTGCCAGTTTCCTACTCTGCCCATGGGACTGGTCAGGGATTCTCTGTAGGGGGAGAGGAGACCAAGCTTGCTCAGGGAAGGGGAAAAGGGAAAAACATCTTGGAAAGCACAAGAGCTGAAAAGGACAAGCTGCCGAACTGAAACCTGCTGGAGGGCACTGAGAGGCTCAGAGCACCAGACTGCAGCATGGTTTGGAGATGAGACAGGGACACGTGTGTCAGGGAAAATGGATATGACAATCCCAGAACCTGAGTGCATGGACTCCAGGAAAGCCCAAGTTGCAAAGAGTTTCCCGCTCCTGTAAAGTACCTTCTGTTTCTCTTGCACACAGTGTGTGCAGATCAGTGTCTGCTTCTGTGGTGAGTGTGTCCCTAGGACATCCTCCCACTTAATCCTCTGCTTAAGGAATGGCATTCAGGATGCTGGCAAACTGCTCCTTTCTGGGACATGCAATGGTGTGGCCTTAAGCGTGTCTTCTCTCCTTCTCCTTCCCCCCACTACAGACCTATCCCCATCCCATGAGCCAGAGTCCCTTTCCCAGCGCCTGCCCTGACTGACACAGGCTGACAGTCAAAGCAGCTGCTGAGTTCTCAACCCTCCTTCCCATGCTTCACACTTGGACAGCCCTGCTTCCCTGTCTGCCTGGTGGATCAGGGTCTCCAGGGGAGGCAGGGGACAGGTAGTGAAAGCACAGCTAGACTTGGCCAGCAGGGTAAAATGGGGCTGGAAGAGATCAGTCTTCCCAGTGGGTGCAGAAGCTAAAAGGGGGTGAGGCCCTGGGTGGGATATAAACCCAGCAGTGATGCTGAGGCACAGACACCAAAAGGGAGGCCCCAGGCCTCCCCTCGGTTTTGCTGGTGCTCCTGTGCCTATTTCTGTGAGCGTCACTGCCTCTGCAGCCACCTGGGCAGCAGACTGCCTTTGGGCTGGAGTCAGGCCTCCTGGATGGGGGGGTGTAATATGGGGGGGTTGGGCCAGGGGCAGAGGGAAAGGGACCTTCAAAAGTGACAGGTTTGGGGTCATGGTTTGGGGAAATAGGGGTTTCAGAAGCAGGGGTGAGATCCTAGTCTGAGCCTCCAGGGTATATGTGGAGGGGGCAGCAGGGGACATGTAGTCCTGATTTGGGGAGGCAGGGTAAGGTAAAAGGGCAAGGAAAGTAATTCAGAGCAGTGCCCATGGGAAAAGTTCAGGGGCATGCATGGAGAAACATGTTTCCTCCCAAGAACGTTTTAGGACCTCACGCCTTAACTTCACTTGCTTTGCTCCCTTCTGCCCCTCAGCCAGCATTTGGCTCCACTCCCCCGTTCTCCCCCACCAGCAGAGGGCTGAGCAGGGCTTGCACCCACGTCCTGCCTCCCCGATAAGGCAGGAAACCCCTCTTGCATGCAGAAACCGCGCCAGATTTTTGCTGAGTGGGGAAAACAATCAAGCAACAGGTTTGTCCTTGCAGATCAGCTGCTTTGTCACACGGGAGAGGTCCCAGCCTGGGGATGGCTGCTCTGGCACTGCAGATGTGACAAGCCCACTTTCAGGCTCAGGG